GATTACAAAGGAAGATTATTTTGTTATGAAAATGCACTTAAGGGATCTATACTAACATCTCCATGAATTAAAAGACATGCCATACCTTCACAGTATAATTGAAGTATTTGGTGGACTGCATAAATCGATGGAATCCATCACTTTCTTTTGTTGCTACAGTGATGACTAATAATTTATCTGCAAAGACAGAAAATAAAACAACAAAGTAATTAAATGCTATCACTTTACAAAGAACCTTAGTAAATAAAAGACCTCAGTAGGTCCATGAGAACACTTTGTCAACCTATAGAACACTAAACAAAGAACTATTCGAAAAATAGGCAATCCAGCTGATTCCATTGGTGCCAAAGGATAGAAGGTCAAATGGTAAGTGTTCAGTGCTCATATTTTGAGTGCCCTGGAGTCTCCTTGTAAGGACCCTGCAGGACAGAGGTTCACTTCCCACCAGCATTGTCTAGACTGTCCTTTAACGGAAGGAGTTTTGGTAGTGCTGTGTGGTAATTGATGGGCTGCTAACTACAAGGTCAGTGATTCAAACACACTAGCCGTGCTGAGGGAGGAAGACGAGGCTGTCTGCGGCCATAAAGATGGATAGTCTCAGAACCCCTGGAGGGTTCCACAACTGACGCGATGGTAGCAGATTTGGCTTCATCTTCATGAAAGAAGATCACCACATCTTTTCTCCCTCAAGGTGGCTGGTAAGTTGAAATCACTGACCTTTCTGTTAGCATCTTAGCACGTAACCCAGACTCCTTTTCTAATAAGAGAGTATATTTTTTTTTGAGAGTATATTAATGCTGTAAGAAAAAAATTCAACAGACTATTTTGACATTAAAAAAGCTTCTATTAAGCACACCATTTTTAACACTTTTCTAGACATTATTTGATCATTCTGCTTCACTGCTTCATTGTTGTAGAATCATTTATTACATACATAAACGAAGTTCTGAAACCTTTTACATTCACTGAACACTACTCTGAGGGGGAAATGGATCCAATCTTTCATTTGATCTTGAATTTCTAAATTAAAGAGCAAAAATTTAGACGCAGAAATATAATTTCCCTACTAATCATGAATTATTGTATACGAAAAGTCTTATGGCCATAACATTTAAATAAGCGTAAGTGATTTTTTTTTTTTTAGTTGTTTTTAGTGAAAAGAACCAAAATTCACTGCACAGTAATTGGCTCACTGGAGTAAGACGAGTGACTGCACAGTACAATACGTCAGTACACTCAGCTGTCAGCAGGAAGTGTGGACCTTTGAGTCCACCGATAAGCACCTCTGAAGAAAAGCGTGGTGATTTAGTGCCAAAAAATGAGTCATTGCAAACCCTGAGGAACAGAGCTGCGTGCTGACACACAGGAGCTGGGATACATGAGCTAGAATCAGATTTGTGCGCCAGATGGTGGTGGGTAAACTAAGAGGGCAAAGCTCACATATTGTTCAACATGTTGGGTACTGATTCTCATGTGCCCATAAGAAAATATTCAGAAGGTATTAAAGGTCCTCTAAGCAATAAAAAAGCACTGGAAACAAAATTAAAGTACTACAGGAATTAGTTTAAAATACTTTTATATGAACAAAGGAAATACCCTACCAAATACGGAAAATAATTAAATAAATGTGAACATATCTAAAGAC